AACGGAATACAGTTACTCATATTTTGTATTTTAAATACGTAACGGCGGTACATGTATTCCGTTACTCCCCAACACTGTCTATAGCTCAGGTTGTCTTTAGAGAGAGGAAACATTCACATGCGTTTCTAACACATGTGAATGTTTCAGGGCTCCATTACGGTCTTTTTAGAGCAGCAGGAGGTGATTGAAATACAGAGTGAGCTTTGATATTTTCTTTATTCAAGTCATAACCAGTCATAGAGCAAATTTATTAAAATAGAATTCAAAATGTACAGAAGCTACAACACCACAAACTGGCTCAGTGTTTAATTACTGCAGTTTAATTGAACTGGTCTGTAGGTGGCAGCATTGTTTGTTCTCTCTCCTCCACCTTTCCTTAAACCCACTCAACTTAAACTGACTTATCTAACAGCAGCAGTCACACTCTGTGGGGAGAAAAATCACCTGATTTCTGTATCACTTTCTCCCAGATTTATTTTTCTTTTGATCTTGATCGGTTTGGGTTTGCTCAGCCCAGCTCCTAGAAAACTAGAATCAAAGGACTTTGTAACAATCAAAGTTTGTGATAAGCAGACCTGGAGGAAGAGAGAAAACTGCTGTACCTGCACTTCTCTGCTTGACTTTGCAGATTTTCACCTGTGTGCATCCCAGTAAGTGAAATGCACATAATAATAGCACCAAGTTAATAATGCTTTTGACACTGATTCTGCATGTGTGTGTTTAAGGAGAAATCAGGCTCGTGGTTGATGATTCAAGAAACACATGCCATTATACGTTTTGTGGATTTCTGGCTTTGAATTCTGTAGTGAGTGTATATCCAAACACATTCAAACCTCTTTTATTTCTTTACACACTCTGACACTCCGCCAACCTCAGAAAGATGGCAAAATGAACCTGCAAAAGACTCAATTTCCTGATTTGTGCTTCAATATGTGGACACAATTTGTGGTGCCTTTAGGTGCACTTTGTAAACTCAGCAATCTATAATCTGAAAAACAAAAGTTTTTGTTTTATTTTGTTTAATAAAAACTTCAGCTGGTGAACATCTAGTGAGCAGCAGAAAAGAAAAGAAAACATCCTAAACTTTCCGTTCCTCTGTAGGACACTCTTTTTCAAGAGGGTGCTAGAGAAAACTGGAATGGTTTCAGGCAACCAACTATGGCACCTGAAGTACCTTTGAACGTTTAGCTAAATAAAGTTTGTAAATTAGTCTGTATAGTAGTGAGTCTTTCACAAAGAGTTCAAAGTAAGATGGCCCCATCATTTTAAAAAAAGAAGAAAAGAAACAAAAGAAAGGTTCATGGTGGCACTCTGGGTCCTGAATACTACCTAACAAGATTATTTATCTCAGAATTTTCACTTATATTCACACCAGCTGGTAGCTGTAAAAATGAAATAAAAACAGAAGAAAAAAAACCTAAGCTGTTACATAAGTTGAGTCTGGTCCACAGTCATCTGATAGGAAGGGTTAGGGTTATTTGTCATTGGAGAGTCTATGTAATGAAGAAAATATAAAATGACATATTTCAGATCATGTATATATACATTTTAGTTTTAGTTTTGTGATGTTTACGATTTTTAAGAAATATTAAGCCAAAGATTTTACTGCACAGATTAGGTTTACTAAAAGAGTGTCAAGAGTAGAGCGGCAATGATATAGAAATGAAGAACATGGCTGACTTTCTGTGTGCTGTGAAATCTTTACTGGATTTTGCAGATGTCACAAAGACAGAAACAGGAGATTTTTCATTTTGCATGTTACTGCCCTCTATAATATAATCTATACAGAGTATTCAGAGCTAAATTATATAAAGTTGCATTAATAGTCACTCATGATCACATATTTCAGTTTTACTTACTACAAATGATTATTTTTATTTTTTTTAAATGTAAAAAAACAAGTGATTATAGCACCTTGAATAATTTATTTCTTGTTTTATTTGTGCTGAAAGTCAAATTTTGTTTTTATTATCTTCAAACAAACTAATTGTAGAAAATATGAAGCATGTCTGATATTTGTGTAGCAGAGGAGCAACAGTGGGTTCACAAAATGCTTCTTTTCTTTTGCTGCCACAGCTCTCCTCACTGACCTGTAAAACATCCACATAAAGACATAAAAAGTTTAAGGATGTCATGAAGACACAAAAACTTAAATTCTTCAGTCAAAAAGCCTTCACAGCTCAAATTGCTCTTTGATATTCAGAAGATATACAGTACCTTCTCCAGCTTCTTCCATTTGTGTCACTGATTCATAGACACAAGCATTACCTACATTAAAAAAATAAATCCAGCAACAATTAATTTAATGTTATTAGACTCAATAAATATCACATTTTCAACTACACTGCAAAGAGTATAAGTATTTTGGAAAATATTGTACAACTAAAACCACAATTATGCAATATTTTCATACTGTGAGTCTGTAATGCTGTTATTATGATGTGAAACACTAACATTTGTGGATTATTTCCTTCAAATAGTTAAGAATCACTTAAGTATTTAAAATGTTATTTGACTTTAATCTGTTTGTCAATTGGCTGTTTTACTGTTTGCCCAGAACAAGGTCCCGTGGACTTCAATACTGACAGCCATGAGCTGCATGTAAAGCAGATAAAGACTTAAAATCTTCTTCTTCCTGCTGCTCCCTTTAGGAATCACCACAGCAGATCATCTACCTCCATCTCAGCCTGTCTCTATTATACTCCACAGTGACACCAACCCTCTAAGAAAAATAAAAAGTCCTTTTAGGCCACTGGGATCCCAGATGATCCCAGACTGGAGAAAAGATTGTTTTCTTAGTTTCATTGTTTAGTAAAGGATAAACAAGCCAACACCAAAGACAGTGCTGATTTTTCTTAAAGTGATACAGGCACACATTAATTTTCTCTGTGGTCATCCTCTTTTTCTCCTCTCTGGCAGCTTATGCCCACTATCCCCCCTCTGCAGATGTCCAAACCATCTCCGCCATGCCTCTCTAAGTTTGTCTTTAATCGGGATTAAAACCCATCTGCCTTCACAGCATCTACTCCTTGCATGTTTATCTTACCGCACACATCTACTATGTCTTGCTTCTAGTGACATTCACTTCTTTTCTCTCCAAACCATTCCTCCATCTCTCCATCCTCTATTCCACCTGCTCCCAACTCTCACTGCAGATCACAGTGTCATCTGCAAACATCATACTCTACAGACAGTCCAGCCTGACCTCATCAGGCAGCCTGTCCATCACCACTGCAAACAACAAGGGGCCCAGAGACCTTGCTCATTGTCTTCATATATGTCCTCCACCACTCTCAAATACTTTTCTATCAGTCTTGACCTCCTCATGCAAAAAAAATGTAGTACCGTTGTTACTTGCTTGGCACTCTTGGAGATTTTTGCTTGGTTGTCCTTTTGGAAAGTTCATAAGAATAACATAAAGAAATGTGGAACAAGTGCTTATCCTCATGCCAAAAAATGCAGTACCGCAATTACTCTCTTGGCACCCTATCATATGCTTTAATTAGATCCACAAGGGCTCCTGGCATTCTCTGTACTTTTAATTTTAACTTCTAACTCAGCCTCAGTTCAGATAAAAATGGTAATAATAACTGGTTTCAGTACTGACCAGGATGAAGGCGACTGCATTCATGACTTTCATTCTGGCTGTGACAGGAAATGAAGAGCTTTCAGGTCCGACAGCAGCTAGTGTGATAACAACACAATCAACAGATTTTATATGAGATATTTTTACAAAATATAGTTTATTAAACCATAAAATAGAGTAAGATTACTTCAGTGCTTAAAACAGGCACACATTTCTATCTGCTATACATATTTGCTAACACAATACATGAGGACTGAGTTCCTTCTCAAATATTAAGATGTTTTTTTATTTTAAAAGTCATGTTTAAATAACGTTGCAATGCTACTCACACTTAACTGACATCCAACGCGATGGCGACTCTTTTCCTGAGTACTGACACTTGTAGGAACCTTCATCAGACTTTGACACTGCCAAGAAGTTCAGCTCCTCTCGGGAATCATTTTGGATAAGTTTGTTATTGTGGTAAAAAGCCACACTGGGAAAGATTTTTTTTCTTCTCAAGTTGCAGCGAAGACGAACGAAAGTTCCCTTTTTCACAGGATCATCAGGAATCTCCATGAGAGGACCAGAATAAAAATCTGAAAAACAGTCAGATGATATTTTTTTCAATTGGATCAGGGAGGCTTAATAAAACCCCCAAAATATTATGTGCAATAATAATGGATTTCATAAATTTCTTGTAGCATGAGCATGTGACATGTGACCTGGCTTATTTAATAACTATTCTATAAAAATAACAATTTCCAAATAAACAGCAGGTTTATGAACTACATAGAGATTTTAAATTGTGTCTAATGACATAAAAACCTAACCTCTAAGCTCCAGGGTATTGTTTTTTACATTTCGCCTGATTCAGCCTGTAACCAGCTGCCTTTTTGGAAACAACACTGTTTTAAATTCCAGAACATTCTTATCCTAATTACAAGCCCAGAGTAAAATATGAAAAAAATAAAGTAAAATATATTAGTAGCTTTGCTCAGTACTAAAACGTCAAGAGAAAATAATGATACAGATGTTATTGAATATGTCTAATAAAATAACACCAGCATTGCTCTAAATTGGACAAAACAGTAAGTGAGGCATAACTAATCATCCTTTCTTTTAGCTCACAGAGCCTTTCGAACTGTCAAGGTTACTCTGCCCCCTGTGAGATCTCTTAAACTCCATTAGCTTGGATGGGGAGTGTTGGTGCGCAGCCATTTTCAACTCTCTCCAAAGATCATTAATCGAGTTCAAGGACATTCACGGAGTTGTCCTGAATCCAACTCTGTGTGCTTAGGACTGTCGGCCTGTTGGAAGATGTGGCACTGTGGAGGAGATTATAATCAAGGGTGTCTCTTTACGTGGCTGCATTCATTTTTCCCTCAACACTGACTAATCTCTCAGTTTTTGGTGGTGACAACATCCTCACTGCAGATGCTGCCACCACCATGCTTCACTGTAAGGATGGTAATAGTCAGGTGATGAGTGGTGCCTGGTTTCTTCCAGACACAATGCTCGACATCGGGCCCGACATTTTTGCTTGGTTGTTCTTTTGGAAAGTTTATAAGAGTAACATAACGAAATGTGGAGCAAGTGCTGTGAATACTTTTACTGCAGATGCAATGTAGAACGGTCCTTTTTGCAGCTTTTATATGATAATCTTCAGGAATATTACTTATGTCACAGATAACATAACATTTACATTTTCACAAAAAAATGTTTAACATACAGAGTACTGAGAGAAGTATTTATGAAACATTATAAGATACAAAAAATATTCTACATACCCTGTAAAGTGATGTTGACTGCATTGCTGAACTGTTTTGACCTAGACTCACACCAGTACACTCCATCATCTGAATATGAAGCTTTTGTGTAGAGTGTGCATACGGATTCTCCTAGATTCCAAACGTTACTGCAATACGGCACGCTATTCTCAGGGAACTTCCTCACTCTCCACCAAGTAGAGTTTCCCTTACAGGTCAGTCTGACAAAGTCAAAGCTTAATGTTTGCCCTACAGGGCCGACTGTGAGAGATGCTGCTGGATAAAGATCTGAAAAAAAAAAAAAACACGGATAAGTGAAAGCACAACACATAAAAACTAAGTATCAAGCATTGACATGAGCTTAAATGCAAGTTAAAGCACATGGATCTGTTAAAAGAACCAAAGAAGGGAATTCACTCTTGCTTGATCATAGAGAGAAGGGAAAATATTAAATTTAGTCCTTGTTTGCAGGGAGCGCAAATGCACATTGATCTTACGGTTATATAAATAATTAATGACATTAAATGCAGCTTATCAAAAAGAGACAGAAACAAACTGACCTGCAGACCAGACAAACTTTGGTTTACTGTAATAGGTGTAGTAGTAGTTGCTTCCTCTTTGCGCTCTGCACACATATGCTGCTGTGTGTGTTTGTCCGGTAATGACGTACAAAGTCTGAGCAGTCTCGCTGCCATCTGGTAGCAGCTCGTACTTGTAGGCCTCTTCTTTTATGTCCAAATAAGGAATAGCTTTATACCAGTAAAAGCTCCATCCCTCAGAAGGATATTCAATCTCACAGCTCAGAGTTACTGAGGCTCCGGGACTCAGCCATGAAGGGGACACGGTGAGGACAGGTTGCAGTTTAACTGTTGAAAGAGGGTTTTTTTTAAATCAGGTTTTTAAAATTTGTTTTATTTTTTATAATAACATTGCTAAGTGAAGGGTTCACAAATCAGGTCAGGGTCATTCTGCCCTCTTGAACAGCCAGCTTATCATCACTCTGGTTTGGCCTATGTTCACTTTTGAACAAGAACATAAATGGTAAATTGCCTGTATTTGTATAGCACTTTTACTAGTCCCTAAGGACCCCAAAGCGCTTTACACATCCAGTCATCCACCCATTCACACACTGGTGATGGCAGCTACATTGTAGCCACAGCCACCCTGGGGCGCACTGACAGAGGCGAGGCTGCCGGACACTGGCGCCACCGGGCCCTCTGAACACCACCAGTAGGCAACAGGTGAGTGGTCTTGCCCAATGACACTCGAACCGGGCTCGAACCGGCAACCTTCCGAGTAAATAAGTAAATAAGTAAATTGCTACAAAATTAGAAACTGTGCCATTGTTATACATAAGACTAATTTTATTGATGTTATTTGAACCACAGCATGTCACAGTACGCTGTGTGTGGCACACATGAGCTAAGCACGGAAAATGAACACACTGGGGAACACAAGTGAACAAGATCAGACTAATGAGACGAGTGAAGAAGAACTCAACATGCACACAGGACAAGAGACTGTAAAAATAGGACAGGATCATTTGGATGAAACAGTTTATATGGGTAAGACATGTCTGTTCAACTTACATGATATAGTGACTGGAATGACATTACTCCATTCTGTCAAGGAAAGTCCTATGTTGCCCCTGCATTGATAATTTCCATTGTCTTCCCAACCAACATTGTAGAATGTTCTTTCATTGGTTGTATAATATGTGGTGAACCTTTCTGGTCTCCAGTCATAGCTCCAGTAAGTCCCTTCTCCTCCTGGGATCTCACATCTGACAGTGAATGCTTCACTCGTGTATATCCTGGTCCAGTTGGGCTGTATAGTCAAAATGGCCGTAATAGGAACTGTTCACAGAAAATATTAAATTAAGAGACAGAGGCATCATTCAGTTCAGTTCTATTAAATTTAATTTACTTGATGCCAAATCATGACAGCAATTTCCTCAACGTGCTTTATATTATGAGGTGATATATGAAACCCAAATCTCTTCACTTCAAACAAAGTCCTTCTAGACTGACTAATACATCCAAAAGTGAACATCCTCTCCTGTGGGGAAAAATAACCAGCCTGATCTTTGAGTTTCAGGTGAAGTGTCATGCTAGTCTAAATGCGTGTCAGCATCTTAACTCCACTGAAGGAGGCACTAAAGAATCGCCAAAGTGCCAAATCACAACAAAAGTTGCCTCAAGGCGCTTTATATTATAAGGTAGACCAACAATAATAGATACAGAGAAAAACCCAACAATCATATGACCCCCTATGAGCAAGCACTTTGGCGACAGTGGGAAGGAAAAACTCCCTTTTAACAGGAAGAAACCTCCAGCAGAACCAGGCTCAGTGAGGGGCGGGGCCATCTGCTGCGACCGGTTGGGGTGAGAGAAGGAAGACAGGATAAAGACATGGTGTGGAAGAGAGACAGAGATTAATAACAGATATGATTCAATGCAGAGAGGTCTGTTAATACATAGTGAGTGAGAAAAGGGACTAAAAAGGAAAAACTCAATGCATCATGGGAATTGGAGTCTATTAGATAGATATGATACAAACCACTGCAGTGCAATACCTGTAATACCTACAGCATGTTCTAATCGCTCTAATAGGATATTATGGTCAACAGTATCGAACGCTGCACTGAGGTCTAGCAGGACAAGCACAGAGATGAGTCCACTGTCAGAGGCCATAAGAAGATCATTTGTAACCTTCACTAAAGCTGTTTCTGTGCTGTGATGAGCTCTGAAACCTGACTGAGACTCTTCAAATAAGCCATTCCTCTGCAGATGATCTGTTAATTGTGGTTTAATTTCTTCTGCTTGAAAGCCCGAGGTATCAGGAACATACATACATACAGAACATACAGTATATCCACACACAAAGTTTAAAAAGGTCATTTAAACTACTTAAATTTATATCTTTCAATTTACAAAAGAACTCTGTGAAACAAGTGAAAGATTTAAATAGCAAAGTCAAGCACAAGTCATCCTTGTTATTTCCATGTCATACTTCACTAAGGTAATATTACTGACAGAAAGACAAAAAGGACAGATCACATAAACTTAACTTTCATAACAAAGATATAAATAGCTAAAGTCACGAGTGTCTTTAATGATGGCCTTATTACTGTTGTATGTGTGGCGACCTGAATCACTTCTTCCTCTGCAGGAGTAGAGACCTCGTTGTGATACAATAATAGCTTTCTTCCCTTCATATTCTGTCATAGGTTCTTCTTTAGAACCAAATGAAGCAGCTCTGTACCACAAAATCGTCCAGTTGCCAGAGCCCTCCACAGAACAGCTCAGTGTCACGCTGCCCCCTATTGGTAACTGATACCTTGTTGGTCTCAGTATGGCAGTGGGTGTTTCAAAAAGGTATTTCACTTTTCCAGTAGTATTTAGAGAAAAGGGCAAAAGAGAGAGAAAGAGAGAGAGAGAGAGAGAACATTAACGTGTTACTTATTTCACAAAAAAAAAGTACTACATAGAAAATATACAATAAATGTCACTAATAATGCTGTCATGTTAGTGAATGTTTTAGTTGTTATAGTCCTCTAAAAGGTATTTTTTGTTTCTGAGTGAGTTTTATTTTGTGATGAAAACAATTTCACAAATCTGAAACCTCTTTTTAAACACTCTATAAATAATATATAAAATATAATATAAATACAAAGACAATTAAACTACAGAAAATGCATTGTCACACTAATTAACCATGGATATGTGCTCATAGATTAGGAGAAAAAAACACATGACAAAACAATTGATCAAAATGTAATGTTTCTTACAATAATACTACACATGTACAGCATGCCGCATTTTGAGTTTAATACTAATAGGAAGTTAATCTGATATGTTTGGGATGTGTTATTGTATTTTAAAAGCTGTTGTTTCAGATATTTTGTCTTTGAACAAAAATAGCTAGTAACACTGAGCAGCACAAAACACAATGTTCAACTTATTGATTGATTGATTGGTAATTTATTTCAACATGTGAACGATATACAAGTACATTTAGAAAAGAAAATAAGAAAGAAAAAAAAAATATATATATATACTGTACAAATTACATACAAAAAAAATTATTAATTTACATGTTGAAAGGGAGTGGGAAGAAGTAAACACTTGTTTAATCCCACCCCTTTGCCATAAATTATCAGTTAATATTTAGTCAGCTTCCTTACTGATATAATTTGTAATAAAAATAGTGAACAGATTTCTGATATACTATAATATCACATCATGAGTTGTTTTTTTGTTTTTTTAAATAGAGACATTCACTTAATTTTCATTGAGCTGAAACTAATAACTTGAATAAACATTTTAAAAATTATGCAATCCAACCAATGCAACATCAGATGAACGGTGAATATCCTGTGTTCATTGGACGTTTCACCTCATCGTTTCTGAGTCTAACCAGGCTCAAAGACAACAATAAACTCAATATGAACTGTTCACATTAAAACATCCATTTAGGACAGCGGTCTCCAACCTTTTTTGCGCCACGGACCGATTTATGCCCGACAATGTTTTCACGGACCGGCCTTTAATGTGTCGCGGATAAATACAACAAAATAAAACTAGTACCGGTACCAAAAAAAAGAAGATTTATTCATAACACATGTGAAAAGACCAAGGAAAACAGAGTTAACGATAAAAACAATAACAAAATAACGCTGAAAACCGATAAAAACCCTGAAAACTATACATTTCACACCTGAGCCTCAACTCTCGCGGCCCGGCACCAAACGACTCCCGGACCGGTACCGGTCCGAGGCCCGGGGGTTGGGGACCGCTGATTTAGGAGATAAAAAAAATCTGAACTTTATAACTTATGAATAAAGTAAATGTAAGAAGGCTAGTTGGGTCATAGACAAACTGTAACACAACAAGACATTCACAAACTATTATGAAAGCAACTTAAATTTATAGTCTTTATTTTGTGATAGTTCTTATTTTCTTTTTATTTCATGTCATATTTACTTTGCCCATTAGCCTTTATCTGTCAGGAAGAAATCTTTCCTGAGGCTTACTGTATGGTCTTATTGTCATACTAGCACACTTTAGCCAGTGTTAGAAGTATTTCTTATTCAAAAATGTACCCTGTAGAAATACCAGTAATCTAAATTTGTGAGATAATCACTACAATTAGGAATATATTATGTGTCTGTGGTTGCACTTGTTTTTCCACCAGTGGTTTCTGCTGGATAACCTAAAACCTCTGCACCAAAACTAGCCTCATGGCTGAGTGCAATATTTTCTCATGTGACCAACAACATGTGAACTTAAAATATAGTGCAGATACATAGAACTAATAGTTTTATGTGTAAAATATAAATACAAAGAAAATGTTAATTTGGGTGTTACTCAGACTGAAATAAAAGAAAGCAGTTTCTTACCTTGAGCATTGCCAGAGAAGAGTGATGCAAGCACTAGAGCAAAGATTAAATTGAGACAAAATAAAATCAAAATCAGCTCTCTCTCTCTCTCTCTCTCTCTCTCTCTCTCTCTCTCTCTCTCACACACACACACAGCACTTAAACAGCGCTTCTGCACTTCATCTCTCACAGTAGAAAAACATTTCTTTTAATTATTGCCATTCGCGGAAAATACTTACAGTATAATCCCAGCAAAGTGTGTCTCATGCTCATGTCCATCCCTGCTGCTCTCTGATACAAAGCTTATCTCGAGGTTTTCTACTTTGCATAAATAATGCAGAAGAAAGAGAAGTTATACACTGATAAAAGCTATTTTGGATAAAGGTATATATAATCTATGCAAATCATACAGAATTAACTCTATTAATGCACTCAGCCAAAGAATTATAAAGTAATGGGTTAATTATACCCTGTTAAGAGTAACAACATTACATCAAAAAATACCCCAAACCGAGTCTTGTGTCTTAAATTTTGCATTCCCCAGACCGTGCTTTTTGACCGGGTGGGAAAGCAAGCAAATTCTGGGTCCTTTCTCCAGCTTCCATCGAACCCAATCGAACCACAGAAGTGAAGGTAAGCTATTTACATAGGAGTGAATAATAATAATAGCGCATGCAAATGGTAATTTTTGAAATTAAAACCTGAAATTAAACTTTGAATCTGTTGCTGTCTGTTAACTGTCGAGACAACTGCAGGTAAGTTGCAATGAACTGTGTTGGTGATACTCAACTCTTGAGCCACAATTGCCCAGGTTATATTTATCTGGAAGTATTCCTGCTCATGATTTTCTTTATTTTCATAATGTGTCATTTTATTACAGGTCTGTCTAAAGTTTGTTAGTATGTTACTAACAATTGGGACATGAATGTGTGGTTGAAGGAGCAAACTTTCACTGTTGTGATGTCACCCCTGTTACATCCTGTCCACGCTGTTGTTTGTATTGATTTATTTTTTCAAAATTAAAATTGAAGAAATGGAGACTTGGACAAGTTGCTATAGCATAATATCCTGAGCTGGACCAATATATTGTTCCTAATACTTTAATGTGAAATAAAAAAAATTGTAGAAAACTTAACATTTCTATGTTGAAATGAGAGAAATGAATAATAGGAATAACCCTGTCATACTCTTAGATCATATGTCAGCTAGTAGCATTGAGGATCTTGTGAAAATTGTTAGAGTAGTGAATAGCGACATATAGAAACACATACACACTACAGACAATAAGTGTCATAAAGTGAGATGTTGCAGACTTAGCTTTAGAAATCAATGGGTCAAATCATCACAGTTTAAAACTGTGACTGTAAAAGTGTTTCTTCCTATGAATTTCAGGGTTTGTCTTTTATTTTCAGTTTTTAAATTCACTTTACGGAAATACAAGTTTCTCAGCCCACACTTTAGACGTGCCCCTGCTTGAATGGATGCAGCACAAAAATCCGAGGCAGGTACAAACCTGGAATTTTGTTTTTACCAAATATGACAAACTCAGTGAAGCACAGTCAGAGATGCTTTATCACAACTGCAGCTTGAAGCAGGGCACATGTACTGTCTGATATGAGCTGAAAACAGCCAATCAAACCACCCACAAAAGTACCAACAAATGTAATAAAGTCATCACTGTGTATGAGCAGAATGTGAGGAGAACAAGACAAGCAGCTTACCTTTTAGTTTCTTTGAAATCTCGATTGAAAACCAGCTTAAAATGCTCTCAAAGTTTGTTGCTTCAGACAAAGGAGAGAATGAAAAAGAAAGAGAAAACCACCTGATTATATAGCAGAAGAAGAACCGCCCAGACGTTAACACACAGGTGAGCTACCTGCCAACAGTGCTACTTATTCTTTATAATTATCTCTTTGTATTTATAAAATTGTTGTGTTCAAGTCACACACATTCACATTATAGTTCTCTTTTTCTTTTTCTTTTTCTTTTAGAAACTTTTGTGATTTTTCACGGTGTCCTGTTGATTGATGCCATACTAGAATTTCCCTGTTAACCCCGCCTACTCAAAACTGGAAGTTACTGGCAGTCGTCAGTATTTATTTTGGTATACTTGTAATTACAGTGCACTTGTTGTATTCAGGCAGCTAGTTATAAACTTGCTGCCACCTCCTAGATTCAATATCTGGAGGAGTTAATACCAAATATGCTGGAACCTACTGAAGCTAAACAAATCTCTCTTGATTACAGTATTCATATGGCTTCTTTTCAAGTTCTTTATCAAACCATAGTCTTGCTCTTACATGCCAAAGAACAAGAACAGTCCATGCGGGTTTCATATTTTCTTTTTGTTGTAGCTGTCTGAGAAACTCAGGTTGTTATTGATAACACGTCTGAAACAGTTTCCATCATCATTCCATTCATCTTTCAGTGCTGAGCTGAATTAAGATTATTGAATTATCCTTGGCATCATTTTAAGACAATTTTAGACCAAAATCTAATTTACAGCCCTTTGACAAAGTGTTATGTATGCGCTTTATATCTGTAGTGTTTTGGTTGCTTCTCCTGAAACCAACTTTTTAATAATGAATTTTATTCAAAACAAATACAGTTTTTATAGACTTTCTTGACAAACATTACAAATAAATAACCAACTGGGACCTTGAATGACACAATTTACTAAAAACCAATTTTATAGACTAATATTCTTCACGTTTCAACACAGTTGTTTGTGTTGTTTCCCTTTCAAAGTAAAACAGCTGTGGTGTTGTGCAAGTTTGCAAGTCTGCTCTTAATAGAGTTTGCAAATTTTAAAAAAGCATCTAATTCTTCATAGTCAAAAACAATAACTAGTCTCTTTTTTTTTCAATTAAATATATGAGATTAGTTACTCAAATCTTGTGTTCAACAACTGAATCCTGTATTTCATTAGATTTTAAATACATCTTGCCACTGTATTCCTGCTTTTAAATGTTTACAGGAAAAGTTTTTCAGCTGGATCGCCTTCAACAAATTTGGGCTCATATTTTAATTAGAACAGTCTTAGAACAACAGGACTATTGCACTGGGTAATCTGAACACATATTTTTTATATAAGTAACAATTATATTGTTTCCATGAGGCCCAAAGGCAGAACTAGATGCTTTCTATTTGTTAGCTATCCACATGTGTCATAGTAAGGCTGCTTCCTAAGATAGAGACACAAAATATTTGTTTTATATTTTCATCTTGTCGCACTCCACCTATCTCATACAAGTAAAGATGGTAATGAATGAATGATTAAATGCATAAATAGCCTATTTAGAGTGAATATGTTTTCTTTGTACCTGTAGGTGGACAGACAGACAACAGCAAATAAGTTATCCTAATTGGGCATTCATAAAGTCAGCAAAGAGGCACAGAAAAG